ACTAGGAATAGGTAGGATTCCTCTTCTTCAGGGATAGCTACCCTGCAGCTGGGAGTGTGGCCCCCAGCGTGGGCAGACAGACCCTAGCTAGTATGCTAAAAGACAGCAGTGTAGCTGGGGACAGCACGGGTGGCAGTGCAAGCTAACCGCCTACGTACAACTAGGGGGTCTGCGCTAGTTTTTTTACTCAGGTGGCTAGCCTGAGCTACCACCTGTGCTACTCCCAGTTACACTAGTGTTAATATGCTAGCGCATGTCTGTTAATCCGAGCTGGGAAGCACACTCCCAGCTGAAATGCAGATATACTCTAGGAGAGAATGGGCAAATCCTAAAATTTAAAATCCCCCTGAATACACTGAGAATGCAGAGAGGAAGGAGGGGCATAGCATCTCCCCTCAAAGACAGTGGGAGGACAATGCACTTCCTCTTTGCAGCTTCCACTCTTGGGGAGAGGCAGTTAGGCTGAAGCCTTTTCCAGGCAAGAAGCGGAGGACAGAGAAAGGCAAGAAGGGATTTGAATAAGCATCAGAACGTTTGGATGTTATGTCAAATCCAAAAAAATTCAGGTTCTAATATTAAAGTGGTCACACTACCTAAAATTCATTGTAATTCACAGAGGATAACAGCAAGAAAGAAAGATAATGAGGAGACCCATGTACCACAAGATCTTAAAGAAATATTGCAACTTTTTACTGTGGTGATAAACATGTTGTTTACTGTTCAATGGATCGATATTCCATGAATTTGCTTGATGTGTAAAATCTGAGTTAATAAAGAGAAAGATGCTACATGCATTTGTAAAATTACCTAGATAGAAACATGTTTCATGTAACTTACATATAGGCTGCACCCCCCTCCCTCAATCACTGATCCATCTTCAGTGGTTTGGTTTCTGATGTTAAAGGAAGCCAGTCTTGCTGAAGACCCATTTCCCCATTAATATCTACTATAGGTGATTTCATAAGTGCCTTCCACACTAGTGATAAACTCCTACAAGAGGGCTGGGGGAGAATACAGAATGATTTTCATAAGCCAAGTCAATAAATATAACTTGGTTACATCCTTGGAACCCGATCTGGTTTTGCTCAAATAATCTGAAAGTGTCAGAACCAACAATTTCTGTAAGCTATGCCAAAAGTAATAGCAGTACAACTTCTGCCCCATTTGGGACTTCAGCAAGTGAATACAGGCTTGCCTTTGCTCAAGACAAATCCAGATCCATATTGTGTGTCTTTCACAGACTACAGTTAGAGGTAACCATCTTCCCCCACTTTTCTTCCCACCCTACCGCAAGGAGGTCTGCCTTTGAAAGCAATCCCGACAGAAGACTTGACTGCATTTTGGCTTCCACCCCCCATTAAGCATTCCATTTACACATGACCCTTGCTAAAATGCCCTACACAGGCCTTCAAGCAGGCCTACTGTAAATAGGGATTTAGATTTAAGGTTAAATATCATCCACTATTCTGACACTTCCATTATTTTCAGGACTTGTCTAACTAACTTACAGTCGCAACTACAAAGACCTTTAATCTTAAAAGCAAAATCAGCAAAGTTGGTCTGAGTTTTAATGCTTACCAAAACAAACATACCATTGAAATAAGAGTCTGTATATTACAAGCATTTAGTTACCGTGCAACAGACATTTATGAAGCCACCAGTTCTCAAACAGCAAGTTATGCTTATATATCAAAGACAGCTGCAAAGAGACATGGGAACATGTTTAGTGGGAGATTTTTTCCTAACTATCTGCTGAATCAAGAGTGTCTTATGAAATTGGATTTTACAGGTTACTACTCTGCCTTGACCTGTTGCCATATTTTTATTGGTGATTTAATGACAAGGTTTTAACTCTCCACCCACAAAGTACATTTTGCAGGGAAAGCAAAAAATAGTGCTAATTAACCTTGCCAACTGGAAGTTTTGTTTTGTAATAGTTGGTCAAATAATGTATTCAGATATGGTTAGCATTATTTGATCAGCTCTAGTTTTAAGTGAATCCACATGTATTCAGCTTATTTTGCATTTATAGACTATATTGTGGTCTCCAGTAACTGCCCCACGTGTTCTCCATCCCCTATAGGCCAGAAGCCACCCAAGGTATTTGAGAAGGTTAATAGAAGAACACTTCTGACAGGTGAGTGACTGTTTTACTTATTGATCTAGTTTGATCATACCAATTACTTTAATTGTAAACATAAATGTTATGTGCCAAGTATCAGAGGGGTACCCATGTGTTAGTAAGTATCCACAAAAACAACGAGGAGTCCAGTGGCACCTTAAAGACTAACAGATTTATTTGGGCATAAGCTTTCATGGGTAAAAAACCCCATCTGAAGAAGTGGGGTTTTTTACCCACAAAAGCTTATGCCTAAATAAATCTGTTAGTCTTTAAGGTGCCACCAGACTCCTCGTTATAAAGGTTATGTGGTTCTATTGGATTTTGTTGGACTTTGTTTGTAAACAGATCTCCCCTCACTCAACTATTAATGAGCCCATTTTTGCAATGGCACAAAGTATGTTATTACAAGTATGGCTACGTAATCTTGTTAATTACTGTATCAGAGACATAAAAAATACTGTCACCTCTGAACTTCCTAAAAAAAGGACACACTTTGATTTACAACACAAACAAGTTGTTCCTGGCATGACTGATTGCCACTGTGACCTATAGCAAGGAAAAGGAAAAAAGTAGTCAGTTACCAAAAACTTCAGTTCTGTCTCACGAAAATTCACAGAAAGCAATGAAACTCTGTCCCACTGAAGGGACAGAAAGCTAGTTTTAGACAAGGTATTCAAATAAGGTATCATCGACGAGTTAATCTTATGATATGCATTAATATGTAAAAGCAAGACAGTGGGGAAAAAAGGAGCCACAAACAAGAAAAATCCAGTGTAGGAGCAGTACAGTGTATTAGTAGACATGTTTGTCACACTGAAGATCCAAGTGATAATGACCTTTGATCTCCTGCCCCTTTCCCTCCTGACAAGTCATCAGACGTGATGGCTGCCTCCTGGTTGGTACAGAATTATGTTATGGCACAGCTAGCAGATAGTTATTGACAACTGTTAATATTTTCTCATGGAGACTGACAGATAATTTTAGCAGAGGACTGAAAAGGTGAGTCAGATAAAGCAATTGGGTAGAGAAACGGTAAAGAAAGTTTCCAAGAATGCCTTAAGGCCTTTCTAAGCTCAATTAGAGTTTTTACCTAGGAGAAGTGAGAATTTGGCACAATGGTACAAAGAAAAAGGGAGAATTCTGGGTCTCTCTCACATTCAGGTAAATAAGCTGGGCACATTTGATGGAGAATGAAAGAACGACCAGTGCTTCTCATTAGTGCAGTTTTTGGAGATTTAACTATCCAGAATAAGTTTGCAAAAGCAAACTGTCAGTGGAATTTCCCTTCATTTTCCTCTAGATCAAACCTGCCTGCCTCAGGATTATACCAACATTTACCATCTTAGTCCCAATAGCTGAAGTCAGCTGAAGTGTGTAGTCAAATATTGCTATAATCATGAGTAAGTGTCCTCATGCTAGAAACTTGGGAAAAAAAATATCATTGGCTTGTGTACGCATTTCTTAAACTAGGCAAATGAGGGAAATAAGGGACAAAGTGATGAATCAATACTGAGTTCTATGGGAGCCAGAACACAAAACTAGAGAGGAAAATTTCTTCTAACAGAATTGTTATTTCGGGGAGGGGGGTTAGTTTCTATCCTGGTTTAAACATCTTTCACTGAGGTCCCAATCTGTAAGTGTCATGGATGTGGTCATGTTTAGCATGATAGCCACCATCAGCAGGATGCAAGAGACAAATCTTGATCTTATTCAATATCACCAGGAGTTTTGCCATGGACTTCAATTGGAGCAGGGACAGGGCCTATAAAATGCAAATTGCAATTAAAATAATAAAGCTATTTGAATTTCTGCTACATTTTGTAATTTTAAACACTGAAGACTGATCACAGACATGCATATTACAACTTAGCAGTGAGAGAAAAAGTCTCTCTTCTTCAGTCACATAGGAGAACCAATATTATGCTTTCAGCTGTTCCCAAGAACGGATTACTATGTAGATGCCCTTCCACCTTCTCTTAGTAGTACCCAGGGTATTGTACTTTTAGGAAATTGCCAGAGAAAAAGGAACCAAGTGTTTTGTTCTTAGCTTTAGGACAAATAATGTGATTATTGTAGTTTAAAGTGAGACACAAAGAAGAGAATATCTTTTGCAGAAGGAAGCAAACCCAAGTGGACTGTCAGACTTCGAGAAGAATGAAGGGGGTAGAGAGAGGGCCATTGTGAGCATCTTTGATTATTAAAGCCAACTGCTTGTACTAATGTCTACGCATGAAGTGTTTTTTCAAGGGACAGCTCACCAAAGCAGCTAAGGGCCTAGGGGCCACTAGGTCTTCAGCCATAGCAGGATGAATTTTAGCATATATAAGTACAGTCAGTCAATAGCCATTACACCTTTGTTAGGTAGGCAAGTATTATTACACCCATCTGTACTTAGATGGCAAAACAAAGACAGTCAAGTCACTTACCTACAATGTCACTGTCAGAGTCAAAACAAGACTGCATGAGTCTGTTTCTCACATACCCACATTTAGAATCCCATGTTATTACATGTCTGTGCCCTCATCTGTCCAGATGGTACAGTAGCTGTTCACTAGCATAGCTGGTTGGGAGGTAGCATGTGGCCACCCTGAGCAACAATGCTCCATTCCCCACAGCAATAAATTGGCCCATAGTCCCCTACTATTATTAAGGGGCTGCTTCCTGAGTCTCACTGAAGTCCGTGAGAGCTGCAGGTTCACAGCCCTCTGAAAGGTCACTTAAACATGGGTTTCTAGACCTCTGAATAAGAAGTTTGAGTTGCCTAAAAGATTAGGGTTAAAGACAAAACAAAGTGAAATAAGAACAGACATGACAATAAGACAAATGCAAGCTGTACAAGAACGTTAGTTCAGGAAGCATCAGTCCAGTATGCACTCACCTGGTACTGGAGGCAAAGTTATGTTTCAAACTGTGTTAAGAGATCTCTTATTTCTGGGGTCAGATGCTCTACTGCCTTTGCAGCTTCTGTAATAGCTTTCCGATACATCCCTTTCTTCTTACGATTAAATCTCAGTTTGAAAGATTCAGAGAAAGGAGAGAGTTTTGAAACAGATAAGAATGAGGTTGTTGGAGAACCAAACCATGATACTTTAGCTTCTCGCCAGGAAGGTTCTCCATTTTCCTTCTGGCTAAGGTTTATGTCAAGAACACGTGCCGGCCACCATGGGAAACCATGAATTTTACCCCAAACAATATCCCCCACTGAAACAGTTCTTCCATCTTCAGTGACACATTTAGAGACACTCTGTGTATGTAGTCTAACTGTTAATGGTGGCACAATTTTACGCTCATCTTTTGAAGATGAAGAGACAGACGCATCATCACCAGGTAAAAAGTCACACATTTCTGGTGATGTTACTTCTGAACTAGAGGATTTGGATTCATCTAGACTGTCATTGCTACACACCGATAAACTAGAAGAATCTGCCTTCCTTTTACGATAATTCATAAGAAAAGCCAAGTTATCATGTCCATCTTTACCTTGGGGAAATCTTTTGAAGTCATCATCGTCACCTGAACTCCCTGAAGACATCTCTGCTAAACTTCTATCTGCAGATTCATCAGTGTAAAATACAGAAGGATTGGACTCCCTGCTACTCTGAAGGTCATTTATCTCATCAATAAGTTCTGCTTTATAAATGGAAACACTCTGACCATCATTTATTCGATGAGGTTTCAGTCTGATTTTGGGAGGTGGAACATCTGCACTGGAATGCACAGGCCTAGTTAATTTCAGTTTTGGAATGGAAGCAAGTTGGCTGCTTGCCGACTTATCCATAAAACATTTGGTTTCCTGATATCGTTCAGAGTCTCTGTTCTCCTCTTGGTCCTCCCCTCCATTCTGCAATATCCGCTGTGGACAAAACGGTTTAACCGAGCCATGAATCCGGGAGGGAATTTTCACAACTTCGCCTTTACCTTGTGGCGTGCTGTAGGATATTTTTATAACTGGAGTTCGATGCACTAATTCCCCAGAAAATTTGTCTTCCTCCCTCTTTTCTCTTTTATTCCTTTTCTCCACATAATCAGAATCACTGTGCTTTTTTTGCTCCTTGTCCTGAATACTTAGCTTCCTCCTTGTTTTAGCATTTTGCCTGGCTTTGTTCGCTTCCTCTGGGTTCAGAGTGTTTTTACATTTTTCACAGAGCACTTGCCTGGGCCTCAGTCTAATAGTACTCATGATGAGCCTTCCTGGGTCTCTATTTCGTGACAACCGTCTTTTTGTCCTCTTTATAGTCCTTGGTGGTGGCTGAGGAACCCATTGGTTATATGTGTGTCTTAACCATAAGGGAGGAGGAAAAGGAGCTCCCTCAAAATAGGGAGGGTAAGGAGGAACATTGCCTGGTGATGGAGGTGGCAAAAGAGGAGGAACCTGTTCATCATGGTTTCCTTTGGGAGGTTTTTCACTAGAAAACTGTGACTCAGTCTCACCCTTCACAGGCTGTCTGTCTTCAGGAACCCAGTTAGTGCAAGCATCAGCAGGAGGTTCCTCTTGCTTTGGCAATGAAGGTGGTGGAAGACAGAACAACCCAGACCTATAGCAGTGTGGAAAAAAAATACACAAATCAGAACTGTTTGAAAAAGGTTTCTTTGACAAAAATTAAACTTACAAAAAAATGCCATTTTCTGAAAGAATATTTGCCCAATGCACTAAGAAGTCAACATTTTCCCTTCATTTTGAAACAGCAGCGGATTTTATCCTGTTAAGTGCCATCTCAAAACATACAGAGCGTATAATCTACTTTTTGGGTGGAAAGTCCAACGTGACTTCTGCACTGAATTCTCAGCCTTACCATTGTATTAGTGACGTGTGTGCATGTTTTGTTTCTAGTCTAACACCAGTCACACAACCCAGAACAAGTACTTTACTCCTATGACAGCCACACTCAACAGGCTAGTAATACCATGGAAAAGATGATGTATAGAAGAGTAGAACACTGCAAGTCTTTGGGACACTATTAACGAATCTTTCAGTATGCTAGACTTTTGAGACTAAGTTTTCAGATTACTATGCAACAGTTGAGCCACATGCACGTGCAATCCAGGTCACTGAATGAGTAATTTCCCAGCCTGTACATTCAAGCATGGGGTTTTTATAGTAGCAAGCACGTTCACCCTGAGCCATTATTCATCTACTTCTCTGAAGAAAAAAGAAAAAAACAAAAACAAAAAAAAAGGAACTTGCAGGGGCGGCTCTAGCTTTTTTGCCACCCCAAGCACGGCAGGCAGGCTGCCTTCGGCGGCTTGCCTGCGGGAGGTCCGCCGGTCCTGCAGCTTCGGCGTACCCGCTGCCGAATTGCCGCTGAAGCTGCGAGACCTCCCGCAGGCAAGCTGCTGAAGGCTGCCTGACCGCCACCCTCGCAGGGACTGGCAGGGCGACCCCCGCAGCTTCCCGCCCTAGGCATGCACTTGGAGCGCTGGTGCCTGGAGCCGCCGCTGAGTACTTCCTATTTCTCCAAGCTAGCCAAATCAAGCAGAAAATGTCATTTATGCAATGCCAAATTTTATCATTGAATATTACACTATTGCACACACTGAGTATGTAACATTTTATTTCCATAGATTTCTTCTGAATAGTGACAGCCAATTGCGCCAACAGATATGTTGCTGGACCAGACATTGTATCTGTGCTAATCTCTGAAGTCTTAGCCAAGCAAGGCCCAGTGTCACATCTGTGGGGAATGGAAAGCCAAGACAATGAGTGGAAACACTGCTTCATCACACCACCAGCTCTTTGTAGATTTTCCCCTCCCTTTCCCTACCCACATGTTTGGGATATACTTTGCTGCAGTGGTTCATTTCTGTTCCTTGGCCTGGCCTTCAGGATTTTCTTGCTTGTTCAGGATCAGGGTTAACAATTACATGCCAAGGACTGTGCTTTGCACACTAAACTATCAGTTTATCATTCTGAAGGTTTACAGCTTCAGTATGAAAAATGCTGTCTAAAGAAGGAATTCACCTTTCTCTGCAGAACAGCAGCAAAGGATTAATGGGAGACAGATTTTCCATGAACACGAGTCTGACAAAATGACTCTTTGCAATATGAAATTCTACTTTGTGCTTAGGTTTTATTAAGCCAGGAGAGCATTATGTTCCACTGACCTATTAATGCCCAGGCTGTTCTTGACAGACTGAAGAATAAGTAAGTTGCAAGTTCTTTGTAAAATAGTCACTTCTTAAAAAAGGCCATCATGAGGTTCCATGTTTATTGTCTCAATGGTTCCATATATGAAACGACATGTATTCCTTTAACAAGGAATACAATAGTTTTTCTGTGGGCCTGAAAACTCAAGAGCCAAGCTGTGTTTTTTCTGGATCAAATTTCAGCAGCAAGACATCCCAAAAACAAATTTTTGTTTTTAATAACTCCAATTCAGCCCTTTTCTCCAATATTTTGACTCCAACAAGAAATATAGCATGAAACGTGTAGCCATATTTTTAAGCTCTAAAATGTACTTCACCAAGTACTTTGAGACAAGCCGGGCCTTGGCATAAATACTGGAACTTGGGGTGCTGCCACATCCCCTGGCTTAAAGTGGTTTCCATCATAGAGAGGGCTGACAGTTTGGTTCAATGGCTCTCAGCACCACTGGGACTTGGGGGAAGATTCCCTATTGCACTTTATATTAAAAGATCAGTTTTAGCAGCAATGACCTTCTTTAAAACAACTGTCCTTTACTAATAGAAAGCCCTTCCATTCTTAAGTGATTGGAAGCAGGCAACATTCTCCTTGTAATGGTGATCATCCTCTCTAACAAAGACCTAGATGAGCTATTTTTATCCTATGCAGGGCCGGCTCCAGGCACAAGCTTGGCAAGCAGGCACTTGGGACAGCCACTCCGGAGCGGGGCGGCAGGTCCAGCTATTCGGCGGCAATTCAGCGGACGGTCCCTCACTCCCACTGGGAGCGAAGGACCTCCCGCCAAATTGCCACCGCAGATCGCGATCATGATTGTGGCCTTGGGGGGGGTGGGAGGGAAGAGCTGCTTGGGGCGGCCAAAACCCTGGAGGCGGCCCTGATCCTACGAGTTGCTACAAGACATTTGTCATATCCCACAATTCTCTTTGAGGCTTTGGCATCCCCAGCTCAGAGAATAATTGAGAAGTACGGAAACTCCCTCAACCTCATGTCCAATCCCTTCCAGACAGCAGCACAAAGAACCCAAGGGGATAGGAGTATAGTTGGCTGCGAGGAGTTGGAATAGGCAAGCTGATTCAGTTTGACTGCACGTGCTGCTGATCACCCAGGAGCATCTCCTGCTTTGCCTCCAGTAGGTGCCTTCAGACCTGACTGGTAAGGTTGCGGTATTTCTTTCTCAGCACCATATCCCCAGGGTGGAACTTTTCGCTGGAAGGGTAAACCTCACACTCTCACTGCAGATCTTTTTAGGCTACTGCTGTTTCAGATGACAGTTGCACACCAAAGTAATGAAACACTTCTTCCTAGAGGAGCATTAGCAGAGGTCGCATACAATCAGATATTAAAGAAGAGAGATGGTGGCTTTCTTCCCAAGACTGGACTAGCCTTATAAACTCACTGACACTCCCCCACTTCCTAACACTAACCAGCATGCACATACTCCTCCAATTTATTATGGAAACTGTACACTGGTTTCAGTTTTGTTTTTGCAGACATTGTTAATTACAGGCCAAACCCTTCTTACCTGATTGGTGAGAGAAAACCCACCAGGGAAAAAAAAAGAAATTGCTTCCATAAGTCACGAAAGCAGGAATTGGCCCTTAATTTTGGCACCGACTCATCGCTATTCTTTGTTCTTTAAGAATTCAAATAATTTAGTAACTGGATGACTATAAAGTTTTAATTTGCCTTTTCTAGAAAGAACATTTCCTTTCCATTTACTTGCAGAGAGATTATGACATCTTGACCATTTTTATATTTAGATACCTTGTCTAGGTGACATTTACTTTCCAAATTAGAAGAAAATTAGCTTAGTCTACAGGAAAAAGAACTAAACTGCCTGCAAAATATAATTTAAAACTAAGCTATTTTGTTTTGAGAGCTTTACGAAAAAAGAAAAGTCAAACCTGAGAATTAAAAGTTTTAAAGTGACAGACTCTGCTAACATATTTGCTATAAAGCAACTATAAGTTGCACATCGAACCTGAGGTATTAGTGGAGCTTATAATGGAAACCAATATAGTGCTATTATTCACGCAGCTTTGGTCGGAACTGTGTGATACTTTATTTATTCAGTTAAGTGGAACGGTTCTGGCTTGACCAAATAAAACTATGCAATGGAGGAATTTTCCTCTATTCCACTCCATTAGAAGGTAAATTCTGTTTACCTTACTCTTACAAGTAGGCCCAAGGGTTTAAACAGAACTACCAGAGTCATTAAAGCAAGCAAGTTCAGGCCTTGTCGATTCTCTAAAGGCTTGATCCTACTAGCCTAACTCACATGAGCAATCCCACTGAAATCACCAGAGCGTATGAGTAAATTTACTATGATCCAGTCCTTTATAAGGTCAGTGACTTTGCTATGGCATGTTTTGCAAGAGTAATGAAGTTTTAGTAGACCATGGCCTAGCACTCAGGTATTAAACTTCTCCTGAGAAGTGGGACGACAACAGTTTCTGGGGAGAATCATCAGAATTGTGGATTACAATTAGTACATTTGGCACTGATTAGATGAGCCTCAGTACCCTAATCTGCATCCCAAAGTTGACAATCATAGTAAAGTAAAAAACATTTTAAAAAAAGAGTAATTAAGATCCATAAACAGTGCTAACGGTAAAGGTCAGCCAGCTATAGCAGATGGAGACTGATATATGGCCAGATTGCAATGCCGGAGAGTGTGAGTGCGCGTAATCAAATCAGGTCCCTGATTTGAGAAAGTTTAGTGAAGTCACTGAACTAGTATGAACGAATGGGGGTCTGCCTGGGCTTACCCTCTGTGCTTTACCCATTCCTTAAACCAATCAAGGGATAGCTCTGCAATAAGGGTTGAGCTGACAATTAGTTAACATTTATATTGTTGTAGTGCCCAGAAGGCTCAACCAGGCTGGGGCCTCACTGCGCTAGGCTCTATACAAAATTGTAGTAAAGTGATAGTCCCTAATGTCAGCTCTGTGCAATCCAGAAGTAGTCACATTGCTGCCATATGTCCAGCCCCCACGCAGCAGTTCAATCCTTTGACTGGCTGAGGTCCAGCCTTGCCCAGCCTCAAATAATGCTGGTGGTTTGGGAGAAACTACAAGCCTCTGACTGAGGGACTGCCCAGACTGTTAATTACTCAGATTTGCAATTCAGGGGCTATTTTAGATCCCTGGTTGCTCCAGCATTCTCAGGTAGCAGCTGCCATGGCCCAGACAGCTTTTGGGGGAAAGGGTTTGTATAGCCAGGTTCATAGTTGTCCCCGGCTGTGTCACACGGAGATTAGAGTATTGGCGATGCACTCTCTGCAAGGCTACACAAAGCCTTGGGAAACTTAAGGTGGGGTAGCACCACAGTGTACCTTGGCTTTCAGGTTTGTTTCCAGATGGGAGTTTAAATTGATCATTTTGGTTTTGGATC